AAAGTTATTTGATGTTTTTACACTAATACCATCTCTAAACTTTTCAAATTTAATTCTACTTAATGGTTTAGTGAACATATCTGCTATCTGCTCGTCAGTCTTAATATACACTATTTTAATAATATTATTTATCTATTTTTTCTTTCACAAAGCAAACCTTTACATCTACATGTTTGTGTCTTTTAGTATTTTCAAGATTATTCGCAATGCAAATAGCTGATAGCATTGAGAATAATCAATGCTAGGAATGCTAGCTCGCAATACTAGATAGTATTGTATGAAGACAATAGCAATCAAATAGACTTGCTATTGTCTTCATACAATACTATCGGCTTTTTAATACATTTTTTAAGTAATTTCTCTGACTCAGTTCGATAACATCACCATTTGCATTGTTCACAACCTTTATCCCTAATCTGATATTATCCCTAAATCTTTCATACAAAATTTTTTATTCAAATTTAGTTTTATCGATTGCACATCACTTTTATTACTTCCTACGATCAGTACATCGTCCACATACATATAATACATAAAGTTTGTCATTATTATTACATCTACTATATAAACAAAAATCAGTTTGTGAGCGTATAAACTTATAATTACGCATTAAAGAATCAAACTTTACGTTGCAATATTTGGGTGACTTTCTTAAAGGATAAATTGATTTATTCAATTTACATATAAAATCACTAGTTTGGTTTTTCTTTCCTGGTAAAAACATGTATGCCTCTTATTCTAAATCTCCATACAAAAATGCACTTCTTACATCCATTTGTTGTACAGGTACTTTGAGTTTTTGACCAATTACTAACAAAACACGAAAAGTTGTTAACTTGGCCACTGGCGCATACACATCGTACGCTTCTTCTTGACCGTCCTGTTGAAAACCCCGAGCTACCAACCTTGCTTTAAAGTTATTATCATTTTTTCTTTTGAACACCCACCTGCTTTCAATTACTTTTTTGTCTTTTGGCTATGGTACTAATGTATTATTTTCTGCCAACACTTTCAGTTCTTTTTCCATTGCCTTTTTCCATTCTTCACTATCCTTATCGTTTATTGCTTCATCATAATTTATTGGTTCCTCTGTCTCTGTATAAAAACTCATTTCATAATCATTCATCCAATTTGGTCTTTTTGTTTCTCTTCTTTGTCTTCCGTCGTTTATTTCATGTTCATCATTTTCTGTCTCCTCACTCTCATATTCTGGTTCTGTTATCAATTCATCCTGTATTACTTCTTCTTTCTCTTCTGGTATCTCCAGATATTGATCAACTATAGTTTCATTCTTACAGTTTTATTTTAGGTATTCAGATTGCCTCTTGGGTACGACAACCACATATCTATGGAATTCCACTTTATTTCTTGTAGGAAAGTACACTCTATAACCTTTACCAACATCTCCATAACCAACAAAGATTCCTTCTTCAGTTTTTGGATCTAATTTTCTCCTTTTCTCTTTTGGAACATGTACTGCAACCATTGATCCATATTCCTTTAGCAATTTAATATCATATTTTCTATTTAACCATGTTTCGTATGATGTTTCATCTTTCTTTAAACTATTGCTTGTCCTATTTAACGTAAATACAGCTGCATTCACAGCTTCAGCCCAATATCTTCCTTTTCTCTGTGCCTCAGCTCTAACTTCACCTTTATTATCCACCAATTGACATCTATCTCTACTTGCTTTGAATTTTAAGCCTCTATCTAATACGAAAGAAAATAGGTTTACCTTTAATTCCGGTACAAATAAGACATTACATAACTCTGTTTTAATCCACCTTTTGCCATTCCATGTGCTAACTTCTACCGTCCCTATTCCACTTACTTTTACAATTGAACCATTTCCCACTTTTACTTGTTTATATTTCTCCGGTTTTCTTAATTCTTTAAACATTTCTCTTACATAGCACATGTGTTCCGTTGCTCCACTGTCGAACCAACAATTTTCCTTTTCATTCGATTCCCCAATCAAAGATGACGTCTCTGTAAAATGCAACACACTTGAAATGCCCATCAATGCTTGTGTATCAGTATTCTTCTTTTCTTCCCTTTTTCTAAATCGACAATCTTTTATTAAATGTCCTTCTTTTTTAAATAAAAACCAAGCCTTTTTCATGTCTCGTGGTTTTAAGTCGGGACAGTCCCTTTTAACATGTCTCTTTTGGTTACAATTGAAGCATCTGATCTCTCTTTTCCAATCTACCTGTCTTCTTTCTTTAGTAAATAACGCAAAAGTAGATAAAGAATCTTTCTTATTTTTATCTTCTTCAATCATTAATCTCGACATCAATTCCGGTAATGTTTGCTTTTCCATAGGCGTAGATTCCCAAGCTGATACCAAGTGCTTCAATTCTTCTGGTAGTGACATTAGAACTTTGGTTACTACCAAAGGCTTGACTAAAGTCTACATGTAATATATGTAAATAGATATCTGATCAGAAGTTGAAATCAAAAGCATTAGCCTTTCACCTTCCTTATGCAATGGTTGAATAATTACAAGAGTCCATTCTTCTGGAATTTTCTCTTTGATACATATTGATATTATTAAATCATATATCCTCTTCCTCTTTCAAAACACTTACCCCCCATCACTCACTGTTTGTTGTTTCAGTTCTCTCCCCATTCAGATTATTCTCAAACTACTTCTTCTAATTGAACTAAAATTATAACTAACACTAGAAACTTTCGGGTTTTGCCGTGCGTCTTTTAAGAAAATGATTGACGTTTCGGATGCCATGTTGCAACCTTCTTCAGAAACTGGTTCGAAGTTAGACACACGGCATAACCCGAAACTTTCTAGTGTTAGTTCTAGTTGTAGTTCTAATTTTAATTCAATTAACACCGATCGTGAAAGCCTTCGTACTTATACTTCTTCTAACTTCACAGAATGTCATTTCTCTCCGTAAGTATATTTTCAGGCCATCCTTACATGCATTTATCTTACGTCTAAAAAGTTTAGTACTTTCTTTCAGTTTTCTAACTTCTACTGTCATTTTGTCATTTCTATTATTGAAACTCCTTTCTGTTAAGAGCCTCTTCCTTCTATATACTCTACACATTGTATTTCTTTATTGGTAATATGTAGTTGTTTCTATTCGCTCTCGTGTTCTGTTGCAAACACTTTTCTCTAGCATCTTCATTCCGTAGTGTTCCCGGCACACCCATACTGCGACGTACTGCCTCGATGATTGAATATTTTATACGCGATCATTCTTCATCCAAAGGTCGACAGTCCAGCAGTCTCTTATTTAACTTCATCTAGTACTCCTTTACAATTCCAATCTGAAGTCTCACTATATTCCATTTTATATTATTTGGTCGTTGGCCTTTCATTATAAGAACTAGTCGTTGTTGCATTTTAACTGCCATCAAGTAGTGATCTGAGTTATAGTCCATTTCTCGGGTGATCTGATGTTCTGGATGGAAACAGACCATCTTTTATGGATTAATACATAGTCTATTTGGTTGGTCTTGTTTGTTCCCGGTATCTGCTATATTTCTTTATATATTTTTTCGATTGAACCATGTGATGCAACTCTGTGTCCGTTACTAACAAGTAGTTGTCTCCTCATGGTGACTGTTTTTCCCAAAAATATCTGTAAACCAGCCAACATTAGCATTATCAAATCTGTCCGCAGCCCTTCGGAGTAAATCGGAAAGACTTCAGAACAATTGTATACGGTACATTTTTGATTTAGGAAAGTTTCAGCACATTACTCCATATCGTAACTGACTTGCCAGAGTCGTAGATCATTTCGTATGCTTACTATGTTGTACTAATTGTCCATACCCGCACTCCTGCTTATTTGTGTGATGCTTTTCACATTTTAGCATAACATGACTTGCCCACTCGATCAATATCGGACTCTACACTCATGTTTCCAGTCCATAGTACTGAAATCTACCACAGATCTTTTACGATTTGCCTGCCGTTGTTCGCAATGCAGCTAGTTTTAAAAATGCCTTGAGGCGCCATCTGCTCTCTCTTCAACTATCTTCTTCTTGACCTATACGTGTGTGTTTTCTTCTCTAGTCTGCCTTTCATACTTTTTTGGTAGCCATAATTATTTATTTAAAATTCCATATACACTGTTACCAGTTGGGTCTCTTGGAAGATATCGCTTATTGCGATCAATTGATCCGTTTGCCTTGATGTCTATATTTATGTAATTATTTGTTCTTGAGGCAATAAACATTATTATTATTATTATTAAAATCTCCGAGGACCACACTGACGTTATATTTTGGAATTCTCTTACATAGGGTTTGTGATTCATCATAGAAGTTAAGTGCAACATGCTCTTCCGCAGCCGCAGTTGGAGTATAAGCTTAAACGTTCGTTTAACTTTAAAAAACTTTATTCTAAAGTCCATGTAGCATAGGGTTAGGCATTAAATTTGTTACGTGCCAAAAATAATGAATTTCTGAATCAATGCCATATGTGTTTGTAACAATCATAATTTAACTTTTAAGTACATAGATATTATTACATAGCAGATATTATTTAATGCTCAAACTGACTGCGTGATGAAAATTTAAATCTCATTTCGATTGTGTATTTTTCAATACGTACAAAAACTTAAATAACAAATTCATCTTGATGTGAAAGTATAACTCTTAGTGATAATAGCTTTTTCATAAATTATTTCATGATACATTATAACTATTAAAGTATTAGATACTTTAATTACTTCCCACAAATATGTTCCTGTCCATACGTATAAATTTTCTGCTTGTGATGGAATGAGTTGTATATCTCAACTCAAAATTACTTAAGAAAATACATTCTTGTTGAGTTAGGATAGAAATAATTTATGTACAAAATAATTTTTTGCATTCATAAATATTTTTAGCAATGCAAAATATTTAAATGAGGCTTTTAACCTGGTTTAAATTCTAAAGTTAACCTTTCAGTAACCGAAAAATAGGTCTATATAAGGGTCTAATTATACCTGACGATTATACAAAACCTAACCCCGTTCGTATTACAGCAAGAGTCGGACGTAAATGGAGTACCTTCATTAACCCTCCCTTCCATCAGCGAGGACGACGAAAATGCCCACGAAGAAGGAGAAACATCGCCCTTGTCTCCAAATAGATCTCCGGTGCACGCCACACAATTATCTAATAGTCCAAGACACGCAAAATTTAATTTAAGGTGAGCATTAATTAAATATTTTAAAGTGACCTATATAAGAAATTTATTTCTGTGTAGATTACAAGAAATTCATGAAGCAAGAAATCGTCCAAGATTAGGAGGAGTAGCAACGAATAATTTGGCATTTCTTCGTCAACGCGTAGAAAGACAAAGAAGTGTTCCATTGGCAGCAAAAAATGATTCTTTAGAAGATGTAAACACGGAATTGAAAAATGATGTTGAAAATACTAAGAATAGCGTTGAAAGACTCGACAATCAAATTTCTTCTTTACATCAAGACGTAGCTACTTTAAGTCTTGAGGTTTATTTATTAATTAAACACAAACATCTTTTTTTTAATTTATCTTTTTGTACTTTTAGGTGAGAAATGCAATCCAAGCACTCCAAGAAATGACCACACCAACAACAAGCGGCCCCACATACGCAGCGCATTCTAATCCGAACATAAACAGACTTCACGGAAACTCTCAAGACGTTATTTTAGCTAGAAGCAATTCTCATCCGCCTGAAATGTGGTGGGAAGAGCCGTTAAGTCCGCCGAGATTACAACTTTTTAATAGACATTTCATTAGCGTTGAAACTCAAACGGATTTTGACGATCAATTTCGAGATTATGTTCTGCAAGATCCCATTGGCGTTCTTCGAATTTTAGGGTTGGACCCGGAAATTCTTTCGAAAAACAACATGTCTATGAAGAAAAGTCGAAGTACGCCAGACGCATCGGAACGATTTTATTTGAACGAAAACAATGATCCCAATCCGTCGATTCATTTTAATCACGTCGGAGATGATTACGATGCGACGATGGCAAAACAATTTTTTCAACCTTTACCTCCGATTCCAGAAGATCGAGGGAGATTAAAATTCTCGCGATTGCATGAAAATGTGTAATCATTATTATGAATATTATTAGAATTATTATTTTGTTAGAATTTTTTACAACTATTCCATTATGATACAAAAGATTTCGAAAATGAAATGTATAATTGATTTATTTCGATTCGGTGGTATCCATCGAGTTAATTAAAATGAATTGGTGATGATAATGTTATTATAATTGATTCGAATTTGTATATACACTTCTTGTATCTGGTTGCAACGGTTTGAAAAGAGAAATTATGGTGTTGCGAAAAACTTTTTTTCTAAAATGGTCCATTAGATTAATTTCTTAGCTAAATAATTATTGGATTATTAAGATTAATGCATTAAAAACGGCCTATTTAAAAAGAACTTAGTAAATAAAGTGAGAATCTTAATTTTTTTCCCATAACCCTTAACTTAATTAGAAGAAATTTCGCAACAAACATATCATTGTGATCTTTGTAAGAGTAGTGCCTAAAATGTGATTCTATCTCATATAGAAAAAATATTGTCTCTATTATCTTAAACTAAGATATATGATTCTTCTTAACTTATAATCAGTTCTATAATAACACTTCATAGAAACATTACATTCCATTTTATTGCGTAAATTAAAAGTGAAATATCGTGATCAATTTTAAAAACTATATATTTATATTATTATAGGCATATGTGTACCTTTAATCGTTGGTTTACTTAAAAATAAATCGATTCTTTTTAAAAATGATTTTCAATTTTTTAGATTATACAGGTGTCCCATCGGTTGTGGTATCGGCTTTTTTGACATCTAAATTTCAAGATAGAAACTCTAAATTCGATATGTATTAAGCTACCCTACTGGCCAGGTGATGATCATGTCAAATACATTTTTTATTGCACGGTTTGCGACATATAAAATATTTAATTACATTAAACATTAGATTTAAATATTTTGAAAAATATCTGTCATTTTTTTATAACAAAGAACCAAAAATGTCCTTGTTAATTAAATAAATCAATTAGGACTTTTCCCAGTTAAAATTAAAAAAAAACAAATAATTATTTTCGATTGAAATTGTAGTAGAACCAAAGATTTACTCTTTAACCTTTGGTAGTACTACAAACGGTGAGTTTTGATTTTTGTTCGTCCTATTGCAGACTTAATTCCAGACGTGGTAGCGCCAAGCGTTCCTCCACATATCAAACGAGTAGGTAGTATAAACAAAGTTTTTTTTGCAACTACTTGAGTTTGGATAAACGACTTCACGTATACAAATCCGTTCTTTATTATTTGGTCGTTGAGAATTCTTTGGTTAAAATACAAATACGAAAATTAAGAAATATTATTTAGAATCAATTAAATAAATAAAAACGAAGTATGTATTTCTGATTTTATTATACGAGTGTTTCTAAATTGATGTGAAAGATTTCAAGGGTGATTTTTCAGCGAAAATTACGGAGTGTCTTTCATATATATAACTCCTTCAAGTTATAGCCCTCTAAAATTAAGGGAAAAATCTGCAACTTTCTTATCTCTTGACATTTTACAGCTAACAAATTGTTAATTTGATCACAAAAAATAAAATAATGCTGGGATCAATTTGACATAACTTCATTTCTTTGACTAATAATATCCAATCTATGAATTAATTCACTTGAGCCTATTTTATTTTTTTGTGATCAAACTAACAATTTTAGGAGAAAATGTCAAGAGACAAAAAAGTTGCGTATTGAATCCCACTATTTAAATCAATATTGTATTGGTGTATTAAAAAGTTCTAATGCAAAGTATTATCGGGTTGATTTTTTCAGCCTCTTGTAGTAACATTTTCGGTTTATAAAAATCGTCAAAAAGTGTCATTTTATTAACAACAGTTACCTGCCAAATTTCAATTTTCTAAATTCCTCCATAGTGGATTTATTAAATAAAAACAATTTTTTCCCCTAACTTTAGAGTACTGTAACTCTGTGTGGAAGGAGTTTTGAACAAAAACTTATATGAAAGACTCTCCTTAATTTTTGCTGCAAAATCACTCCTTGAAATCTTTCGCAATAATTTAGAAACAGCCTGTATATTAATAAACTTTTTTAAGGTGACTTTATTGTGTTGACTGAACATAATAAAAATCATGAATACATAATAACAAAAAACATAACAAATCCTGCAAACTACTTATAATTACAAATTACAAATTATTTATGTTGTAAAATAGTAACTTTATTACTTGTTTTAATTATGCATGGAACGGGACACGATTGCTAAAAAAACTAAAATGACTTTTGTTTATGGAGCAGTCAGAGATATTAATGTTGCCCAAAATTTATTCAAACAAAGATTTCCAGACAGACACGTCCTATCTTGTGTAAGATCTTCAATAGAGAAGAAGGCCCTACACGAAATTCAATATTTAAGCTGTTGTTCGTAATAATCCACATATTTCTTCTCGCGTAATTTCTTATGACTCTACTGTATCCCAACGCAGTGTACTTAGATTTTTACATTGCCATAAATTTCACCAGTACGCTGTTTGCATCAAGAGCTTCAGGAATGAGGAATGATATCCAAAAGCCAATTTCATTTTGTCATTGGATGCAAGTATGCTTTATTGGTTACTAGAAAATTCTTAATGGTTACGTGAAATGAATTACTAACGACGTTGGGCAGTTAATAGATTGGGTGGACAATTGGCCCTTTCTTCGAAAAACATGCTTATCAAAAAACATGTACCCTTTGAAAAGTATACTTAACAAATGAAAAATATTGATGGTGCTTCTAAAATGCAATAAAAATCGTTCAAAATAGTTTCCCCCTTTATACGATGAAAGTTTTATCTGAAACTTTTTTGATAAAATTGATGTTTTATGAGTTATTATTAGGTAGTCTCAATTTTAATGCCTTACTCAGTATATTAAATAGAGTTTTTTAAACAAACTTCTTAAAAAAATTCAACGCAGTTGATTTCCTCTTATAAAACCTGTTCATATACCTACTTAAAAAACCAATGTTTGGTAATAAACCAATAGACCAGGTGTGTAGTGATCGGTATCTAAATGAATTTTGGACATTATCTCCTTGGTTCCGTCGATTAAAATTTTAATATAATCTTTTTGTTGAAAAGATTAAAAGATATGATTACCGTTTTTACCTGGACGATCTACAAATTTTTACCTAATTTGTAGAAAATTAAACAACAATATCAATAACAAAAAGTTCTTTTATTTTAAATAACATGTTCGAAATGATGTCCTTTTTGATTAATACACATTTCTAACCGGTGCCGGTGTCTAAATGAATTTTAGACATTATCTCCTAGGTGCCGTCGATTGATTTCTTCAAAGGCGGCAATAATACGTTGCTGCATATTTTCTCGCGTTGTTGGTACTGTTTGGTAAACAATTTTTTTCGCCGTGCCCCACACGAAGAAATCCATCGGTGTCAACCGGTGAACGCGCCGGCCAACAAATCGGATCATTACGTCCTATTCATCTTTTAGGAAATTTTTGGTGGGCAACATTTGTCGCATTTCTGGAGTAATGGGCTGGAGCCCCATCCTGCTACATCCACAAATCATTACCCGCAATGTTTATTAACGGAATATCTCTACGGAGGCCCTATTAAATGGTTATTTGTAATGTTTACCCACACGTTCAGTTGATTTTTTTCTTGTCGCATCTTGTCGCATGTGCACGTTATGCTTATTGACATTTCCGCATGATTTAAAACTTGCTTCATCGGTAAATAATACATTTTGAAAGAAGTTCTCATTTATATGCATTTGTTTTAAAGCCCATACACAGAAACTTTCTCGATGGAAGAAGTCATCGCCGTGTAACTTTTGGTGCAGGTCGATATGATATGGGTGATATCTATGAATAGAGGTCAACAGTCTTTGAACCGACGTCTTCGTAACTCCACATTGACGACTTATCTCTTGAACACATGTATACCTGTGAATCGTTTTCCACAAGGTTTAGTACCAGGGCCTGATTAATTTATAATAATAATGCAATTTATTAACCCTCAAAAATCTTTTACATATAAATCACTTTACATAATAAAGAAAATTAAGAAGGTTAATTAGGTAGCCAGGTCAGGCAACACCTTGGTAGTGAGGCCTGCTCTTCCCCTGGCTCCTATGTACTATAACAACAAATAATCCATAACAGCGCAAAAAAAAAATATATATATATAACTAAGTATAATAAGGAAAACTAATTCAATCTTGTCTGTCGCTCACATAGATACCGTCTGTATTTAATTTTAAACTTTGACACGTTTAACACTTTTAATGGGCGAGGAAGGGTGTTCCAAAAAACTGTGATGCCGTATGTAAATGAATTCCGAAAAGCAGTCGACGCGTGACGTGGCACCGTAAGTGAATCTTTTCTGCGAATATTGACATTATGTACATCAGTACGGTAGGTTATTTTATTACTTAAATAAACAGGAATTTTGTCTTTTAAGATTTTGAAATAAACTACTCCTCTATGTAGAGCCATCCTATTATGCATATTCAGCCAACCACACTCCGCCAATTTATGTGAAACTCTCTGATATTTTTGTATGCCATAAATCAGCCTGAGGCAGCTATTCTGGACATACTGCACCCTTCTTTGATTTTCTTTAGTTAAGCAGGGACCATAGACCGAATCACAGTGGTTGAAGTGAGATAAAATCAATGCATCAGTTAATAATCGTTTACTATCTGCATTTAACACGTGTCGATACGGATAGAGAGATTTCAAAATACAATAAGATTTTTGTAATAGCTTATTTATGTGTGTATTAAATTTTAAATCATTGTCTATAAACAGACCCAAATTTTTAACGGAATCCACGTGCTGTAATTTCTGATAACCTACACTAATTTTAAGAATATCACTAACAGATTTGATATGATTTTTATTCCCAAAAATAATTACATTGGATTTAGTGGGGTTAATTTTTAGACCATGTGCCTCAGAAGCGTCAACAAGGGATTGTACATCCGAATTAATTTTGATAGCAGCATTGTTAGAGTCAGTGTGATGAAATGAAATTGACAACTGAGTATCATCAGCATAAGCATGATATTTGCAAAACTTAAAATTTTTATAAAACGTACTCACATAAATTATGAACAGCAGAGGTCCACATATACTTCCCTGAGGAACTCCTTTAGAGATTAGTTCTCTTTGTGAGAAGACATCTTTGATTTTAGTTCGTTGTTCTCTGTTTAAAAGGTAATGTTTAAAAAACTCTATTGCTGTGTGACTCAGACCAATGTAGTGTAAAATACTTAGTAACAGATGGTGATTTATCATATCAAATGCTTTTGAATAATCCAACAATACAATCGCATGCATGTCACCCCCGTCGACGCTACGCAACACATCATCCACAATATCTAATAGAACAGTATTACAGCTATGATTCGGTCTAAATCCCGATTGGTTGTCGGGTATGATGTTATAAAGACAAAGATGTTCCCTTAATTGACAACAAACTATTTTTTCAAGAACTTTGGAGAGGGCTGGCAAAATACTTACAGGTCTAAAATCTGTATAACTTTCAGGAGCACTGGTTTTCGGCAAAGGAATCACAATGGAATCCTTCCAGCAATCAGGGAAAACCGATTCCAGGAGACAAGTGTTAATAATATGCGTTATAATATCTAATAAATATGGACATGACATCTTAATTGTGTTTATACCAAGAAAATCACTTCCCACAGCACCAGAATGAATACCTGATATAACTGCAGCCACCTCACTGCGTGCCACAGTATGAAAGACAAATAATTCTTTAAATGTACATAAAGTGTTGCTATTATAAAATTGTAATAAATTATGATCAATGTCATTGTTTAAAGATATATTAAGAAAGTAATCATTAAATTTATCTGCATCACATAAATTCTCAGGTACATCACAATTTTTAGATTTACATCCAATGCCTAATTTAGTATATGTTTTCCATATTTTACCCGCATTTCTGTTTCGAAAAATATTATTCATATATATTTTCTGTTCCTTACGTATTGCAAATGTTAGATAATTTCTTAATGACTTGTAATATTCCCAGTGCTCAGGCTTTTTTGTCCTTTTGAAACGACTCAATGCCAATTTCGTAGCACCCTTTTCTACCATAGTCCTCTTCTTACGTTTAAGAGAGCCAGTTTCCCTAAGACCATCCACAAGCCTTTGAAATGTTCTTGGATTAGGTGTGACTCTATCCGAAAATCTTTCCGAATAAATCTGTGATGCTAAGCAAGCGTTGCGCTTTGCCTCGCCGTAAATTAAAATCATGTCAATTTTTTCGTTATTCGAAAACGTAAATGGCATTTTGAAAACTGCCACAACTTCAATATTAACTCTAGGAAAATCACACTTAAACTGATAAAAGTTCAAAATTACACCTTTGCAGGTAGGAAAAGAAAATAATAATTCCCCGAAACGTCATTTTTGTCTTAATTATTTACTTCACGCATTTGTGNGACTGAATGCGCACATGGGTACAGTCAATGAGCACCTATGACATACGGGAATTTTGCTATGCGATAAAATTGCAACTTAACGCTATCCAGTTCTTCATTTTGAGGCATAAAAATATATTGTAGCAGCCTTTACCATCTATCCAGCAGATGCTTTGCTAATGCCAACAAAATCTGCCATTGTAAGGAGCATAGAACCAGAAACGTAAAACCGTAACGTCAGCAGGAGCTTCATATTCATATTCGTAAGGACGTAAACTGAAAATAAAAACAGAGTAATGGTAAACACCGCTAGTCAATTTGACAGCCGCTAAACGTAAACAAACCACATGCGGGCTGCGCGTTATACCCACAGTATTACCAACTTCAAAAAACCATTGGAATAACTGTTCTGGCATAAGAAAGGCTTTATAAGACGCATTCGTTAAATTAATGCCGAAAATAAATTATTCTGGGTATAACTATTCCACTGATTATACCAACACTTGTAAGATCGGCCCTTAGATACCTTAATATTAAGTTAAAAAACTATATTCGTTATAAAATAAGTTCAAAATTAAGCTTCAACAGTAGTAAAAAATTGAGAGTTCTGGACCGGAAGGTAATCCCTCAATCCCCCTGTGACGTCTGCGCATGCGCACAGGAAGTGAAATTTGAAATGCATGTGGCGCCATCTGGTGGTGTGTAGTGAAACTAAAAACATGTCATGTTGGTTGCCTGGCTCGTGGGGCGTCGCCTAGCGGTGGGTGGTGGAACTAACGCTATGTTGCTTGCCTACTTCATGGGATGCCACCTAGCGGTGGAACTGGCATGGTGACGTCATGTTCATGCGACGTTATAGAATTAAGATGAAATTTTTTTTATTCAAATATTAATAAATTTTTTTTCTTTTTTTGTTTTTTATTTCATTTTTGTTCTGTTCAACTGCTAACCATTAAACTGGAAAGGTTTTGGTGGTTCGGTGGTTTATTGACTTTAAAGTTTCTAGATTTATCCTTGCAGCTATCAGTTCAATTCCTATAACAAGTAAGTATTATATATATTCCATTAAGTTACACCACCGAAACCTTTTTTATATTAATTGTATCTTAATTCTATAACGTCGCATGAATTTTTTTAAATTTACGCGCGCCATCTATCGCTCATCAGGCCACCACTAGGTGGGCACGTGTCGTCTATCCACCACTAGGTGGCGTCCCATGAAGTAGGCAAGCAACATAGCGTTAGTTCCACCACCCACCGCTAGGTGACGCCCCACGAGCCAGGCAACCAACATGACATGTTTTTAGTTTCACTACACACCACCGGATGCGCCACATGCATTTCAAATTTCACTTCCTGCGCGCATGCGCAGACGTCACAGGGGGATTGAGGAATTAACTTTCGGTCCAGAACTCTCATTTTTATACTACTTTCAACCGGCTCAAAATTAAGCTGGACAGTCGCTTTATTACCCAACCGGCAATAAACGAACTGCTCCTGGTAAGGGTAGTAGTCTCCGTTCACGGTACCATAAATCTAACTGGCATGTAATTTTTCTTAATTTTTGTCGTAAATAATTAATAAATTGCAATTTTCAATTCATATGACATAAGAATTGTTAAAAAATAAAACCATAAATTTCGTCATTTTTAATATTTTTGCAAATTATTCGCAAAACGTGTAATAAAAAATAGACGTCAAAAAAGCCGATAACACAACCGATGGGACACCTGGTACATATTTACCTAAACTTATTATTAAATACTTTTTTAATAAACAATCTGGTATTGTTTTAGGTAGGTTTTAGGTGTAAAATAAAATAAATGAAATACAAAGATACTCATTATATTCTTAATATTATAAGTCAAAGTCGAAGGTAAGAGAGGGCTGATTGACATCGTGTCAGCCAATTCAACAAAAACGGCCGACACATGCGTGTCATAGATGATCCCTAAAACTACACCGTAATGGTTTTATCGTTAGAACACGATTTACTAAAACACAAGCTTAATTTACTAAATGTGATTACAACTCCGCTCACAAGTTCAACTTTTCGTTTGGTTTCCATGAAACTATTTTTTAAAATAAATTATACATATTTACAACATTCTTCTAAATTATTAGAATTACATTTAATATCATTATTATTATTAGATATTGTAGCGTACACAGCCCACTTTCACATAGAAATCATAACTTTTATCAAATTACCTTATTTTCATAAATTACCTATGTTACCATTTTTGTTGATTTCGATGTAAATTCATTCATTCGATTATAAGCAATCAACCAGAGTAATCAACCAGACAACACGTCTGTCTTTGCGTTTTGATTTTTAAAAAGAGTTTAAAATTATTTATTTACTACAACTCTTTAGATATACAGGTGTTCATTTCGAAACTTTCCACCTCAATTTCTGTAAATCCGGAAGTTTAAAAAGAAAATCGCTGAAATAGGTAAAGAATAAAACCAAGGCTAACAACTTTTTATGCAAAAATTGACTCACTCACTTCAACCCCCCGCCGCCAGAAACCAACCCCTTAAAAATCTTAAATGGAAAGGGGTGTCAAGTGATACCTCATTTTAAAGGTCTTTTAAGGTACTACATGTTAGTATTTATTTTTTTTAAATTGATCGATTCGTTTTCGAAATTTTTGCGAAAATCTTTGTTTTGTATTTCCCGCTTTAATTAATATTAAAAACTTTAATCACCTTCTTAAAAGCAAGAATAAGTAATCTTTTATTATTAATTTATAAAATTAAATTACCATGTTCGTTTTTACAACGACCATTAAACCTTTATTATTTCGGAGCAATCGGAAATATTTAAGAAAACTAAACACGTATAATTATGAATTAAACTAAATTTTATTGAAAGTATTTTACATTAAACCTGTATGAAAATTACTCTTGACTCGAATGGCCAAAAAAAGGAAAAAAAGAGACGAAATTTTTCTCTTTCTATAAACGAGTTATAGGCAGGCTCACAGTGCGAGAAAAGAATAAAATAAAAGTGCAATTCTAAACATAAGTTTATTTGGTTATTACTTAAACAACTTTGTGTTATCCACTTAACAAAGTTATTTAAATAAAACAGCAATAATGGTTTACAGTTTGCAGGAAAGGATTGAAATTGTATTAATGTATGGATCCCAAAATGAATGTGCTCGACGAACTGCCGCAGTTTTTAATGAAAGGCATCCAGATCATGAAGAAATTCACTCAGACTGGGTCCGTTGCCAACATAAAACATAATGAGTCGAGAGTTTTGAATGAAACCGCTCAACTGGAAGTGTTGGGTCATTTCGGTATCAACCCCAATACTTCATTGCGTCAGGTATCTCGTGCAACTGGTATATCCTTGGGTTCTGTTCATAAAGTTGTAAAACTTCACAAATTCCATCCTTATAAATTGAAAATACATCAAGAGCTAACTGAAGACGATTTTGACAGGAGAATACAGTTTTGTGAAGAAGTGACCACTATTATTAATAATAACAACGTTTTTGTGAAAAATATCTGCTTTAGTGATGAATGCACTTTTTCTTTAAATGGATTTGTAAATAAACATAACTGCAGATATTGGAGTAATGAAAACCCTCATCTGACTGTAGAAGGGCATACACAATATCCTGAAAAAGTTAATGTATGGGCCGGCATTTTGGGAGACCAAGTGATTGGTCCAGTGTTTATCGATGGAAATTTAAACGGCGAAGTGTACTTGGATATGTTAGAAAATACTATCAATCCACTAATTACGGAAGCTCTCGAGAATCAGTTGGATAGAGAAGAAAATGCCTTACTTGATGAGAATGAATTACATTTTCAACAAGACGGAGCTCCTCCTCACTATGTTCTCCCAGTACGACAGTGGTTAGATAATACGTTTCCAAACAGATGGATAGGACGAAGAGGTCCTATAGAATGGCCAGCCAGATCACCAGATTTGACGCCATTAGACTTTTTTTTATGGGGTCATTTAAAGTCTGTTGTATTTACCCCTCAACCTCAAAATTTAGAAGAACTTCGTCAGAGAATTACTGCAGCTTGCCGTGGAATTCAAAGGGAAGTTTTTGAAAATGTGCGCCGTAGTTTTGAACAACGGTTGTACCATTGTTTAGCTAATAACGGACAACACTTTGAACAATTATTAAGTTGATTTTCTCTGCAAAAAGTTTTTGTACATAATTAAATAACTAAAAATAAAATAGAACGTTTCAAGCAGTTAAAAGTTCTTTAAGTAATAACCAAATAAACCTAAAAGAAAAGAAAAATGAAATAGAAATCGTTTTTTCTAAATATCTCTGACAGACGAGACGCCAGGCAAGCTAGCCAACGTAGGTATAGTAAGTTTTGAAACGAACACCCTGTATATAAAAACTAAAGTTAAAAAATATATTGAATTTCAAATATCTCTACGGCAGTCCGGCTGCGTTGTTTGGATGTAAAGATGTGGATGTCATGATGTTACAGAAGACTCAGGTCTATAACCCTTTTGGACTTATCTTATATTTGTTTTATACAGGGTGTATCTGAATGACTGCAACAAACTTCAAGGGGTGATTCTTTAGTAAATTTTAAGGATACTTTGACATATGAACCATGGGTGACTTCGGCTCCCCTCAGGAGCTACACCCCTCCAAAAATTGCGGTAAATTGTGGTTTAATTTATTTTTCTCAAAAACCATAAATGCTAGGAAAATGAAATTTGGGGAATATGTTTAACTCATAATAGGGCACGTTTTGACCCTATTTGTACTTTCAACCAACCTTTCTAAACTACTAAACGTAACCACCCCCTTTACATTTTTGTAAAAATTTTTTTTATGCAGATGATAAATACATTAGAAAAATTTTACATAGGTAGATGAAAGTATGTTAAAACTTTTTTGTGTCTCTAAAATTTTTCCAAAAACGACTAATTTTGGAGAAAAAAAAAATAAAGCAAGCACTGCCCGTTAAACAACGCAGTTGTCGATCAAAAGTTGGAATGAATTTTTAATGAAAACATCTTGGTAGGCTTTGCAATCTTTGTCAGAAATGTTAATTATATAGACCCAGCAAGGTTAACATAAAAACATATGATCATTTAGAACAGCTATGGATCGCTGTAACTATTAACAAAGTTAAATATATTTTTGG